AAAAAATTCTTTAATAATGAGCGCATTTCAAATCGAAGCACCCGTATAATATAAATATCAACAGCTTTTCTGGAACTGCAGTTAAAAATACTGGTCCAATTAAAGAGATGTCCCCGAAAATCAACCACTTTTACGCCAGGATATACTAATAGGAAGTGAAATAGTTGGGTGTCGGAAGCAATTGTCCAACTGTCTGAAAAAGCTGCTAAATTACGAATGATTCAGTAGATTCTGGCTAACGGATGTCTCGTTGTAAAAAGATAGCAGCACGGTGGGATACAAATCGTTATTGGGGTGATATGGTCTTGAAAAGTAAGACGGCGAATCGATTAAGCGATAATAAGAAACTATCCCTTCTTCATATAGCAACCAAAATTCGGGCAATAGTTATTGAAATGGTACGGGATAATGATATACCTGTTAAGAATCACCTCGCAAGATGGAAGGAATTCTTTGAAACCAGACTTAATCAGGATATGCCATCTGGTGTCCTGGACATAGCTGATTCGCTTGCGCAGCCATACATTTTTGTAACTGCAAGTCGCCAACCATCAGAAGAGGAAATAATCTTTGTTATCCACAAGCTTAAAGCCAATAAAACTCTTGGAAAAGACGGTGACCTGAGCTCTTTAAGTATCCTTCGTTCATAATAAACTTTCAACAAATGTGCTCTCTCTGGTATATGAAGAAAGAAATAATACCAGATGACTGAAGCAAAGCAATTCCCAGTTCTTAAGAAAGGTGGCAGGACATATTCTGATACTTACCGAGGAATCAGCTTACTGGACGCATATATCAACGCAGGTCTATAGGGAATAGACCCATTCGAAATAAGAACTGTTCTGTCACTAAGTCAAGGTTACGTCCTTTTCCCTACAATATTTAATTCTTCGATAAACCGGATAATGGAAATAGCCTATCGAGAACACTCAAGAGGTGTACCAATCCGTCCAGAACATCGCACAATAGATTCTTGAATTCGCTAATGATGTTGTCCTTTTTGTTGACACTTATAATAGAAATGCAAATAAAGAATGTGTCGACAAATCTAGCGAGAATTGTGCCAAGGATCAATATAAATAAACGGAAGTACTTTCGTTTCATATAATCTGATAAAATACTTTCATCTACTTATTACCTATACCTGCTTTCACCTATTTTCATCGATTCATTGCAGGTTGAAGAAGTTGTGAAGCTGCCAAATTTTAAATATCTCAGATCCACTCTAACCCCAAACGGCCCAGGGAAAACCGAAATTATAACTCGGAAACGGTAGTTTCCAGTTGAAGGAACACTTATGGAAAATCACCACAAAGTATACTATACGCGCCCATATAGCTTTAAGTCGCCAGCTCACCAGCAAGGTGCGGAGCTCGAACTCGCATAGCCAGATCTCATTTTTGATAGCCACCTAAAGGATAAATGGTCAACGGTGTCAGAAAGAGAATCAGACTGGTCGGACATTATTCTCCATTTTCGATTTTGATCCTTTGATGAGGAGCGGTTATCACTAAATGACAAACGAATATCCTATATGTAAAATTCATTAACCAAAAATAAAATTGGAAAAAATGAAATAAAATGAAAGAAATAATATATATATACCGAACTAACGGTGATTTTAAATGGTCCTTCAGCGCAATTCCAACGACTTTGGGATAAACTTCTTGAAAATTTACAATAACGTGAGGCAATTATAAGTGGCTCACGTTCAAATGCGATTAAAAATGAACATGGGCGAGTTGGTGAAGTCATAATATAGCTGCTAAAAAAAATTTGATAGCTAAAAAATTCTGCCACTGATCACCAAGACTTTTATACGATAAACTCGATGATTTTATAAATGCTCAACATAAATTTAATAAAAATCATACGTAGTTAAATTTGCATCCAACCGTGGAATGACACCAAGGAGACGTACTTTTGTATAAGTCGATTCGGTCGACAGAAATTCTTGCGAACAAAGCCTTTTTCTTGCTGGCAAAAAATCACCAGGAAAATTCTTTTTCAAAAATTCTATATCAGATTTGTGGAATTCATCATTGATGAAGGTCAGCGTAATTGTTAAATCAGAATTAAGATTCGGATATAAAGCGATTGCCTGGAAAATAAATCAAACCAAAATATATGCTATTAATTTCGAAAAACCAAAATACAAACGCTAAAAAGCTTATTTTCATTTTCACTTCCACCATTTAAAAAAAATGCCATAAAATTATAAATTTTTATTTCAAAATCCACACACTTTTTTTATTTTGTTTAAATACGAATCGACGACCCGAATTTTTAAAGACGGTGAAGAAGATGGACATTCGCTTCGATAATTCAAATCGAATATGGCATTACGCAAAATGGTCGTTATAGGCAAATTTAGGGCCAAAACAAACGAATTCGAATCATAGCGAGCCTTATCGAATTCCTTACTCACCTGAAAGTCAATGAGTTCCTCACGAAAAAGCACCGAAAGAAAGAATATAAGCCGCTTGCGAGGAGCGTTTTTCACTCCGCGCAAATCACTCCGAAAATCGCGCAAAACATTTAATAAAAACGAGCGAAGGCGAAGAAGGGGGTTTAAACGCAAAGAACGAACTTCGGCGACGACGCCGTCGACAAAATCTGAATCGACTATGCCGAAACACAAGCAGCACTGCCACGGGTTTTGAACGTCGCTTTCATCACCATTCCTTTTTAAATCCTTCGCACATACTTTACATAAATTTAAATTCATTTATTACGCCCTAAGAAATAAAATCCTTAAGGGACTACTTCTTAATGACGATAAATGAACGAAGCACTCACGATGAACACGAGAGGAGAGAATCCCAATCGAAAAAATTACCAACTTCTAGCCGATTTTTTGAAAATCTTCGAATTTTCCATTCAAAACCTCTGAAATGCGGCTCATGCGGCAGATTAATTGAGCATTTCCGGTTTCAGTCGAATATTGTCAGCTATTCTTGAAATTAAGTAAAACTAATATAAAGTGAGAAATTGTACTGGAATTCAATATGAGTATGGCGAAGGTTTTTCCAAGAAAATATCAGCGTGAGCAGTCGACCGTCATTCGTGTGGTGGGTGCGTTTGCAATGATTTGCTCCCTGGCCAATGCGCTGGGCTCTATAACCGACTGAGCCACGCAGGCAGTTGTCAGCTTTCGAGATTGGAAAGTATTATCTTCTTGTGTTTCGAAATATTTTATTCGAACGCACCAATGGGTGTATGAAATGTTTCGCCGAACAGTCGACAGTTTCCACTTGGAGAAGAGCGAAATTGTTTTGATACGTGTTGCAAACTTCACGAATTAGTTCATAAAATCATTTGGCATAATATGCATGCACACAGGGCAAAATTAATGATGTGCTCATGGTACCACGTTTTCTTCAGTTCCTGTTTTTTGTGCAAATCTTGTCTTTAAAAGTGAAGTCCAAATGATGCTGAAAATTGAGGGTTCCATACAATCCACAATTCCATACAATAGAGTGCGTTGAGTTAAAAATGGTGAATTAAATGTTATTTGAAGACGATGACCATCGAGTTCGAAAGGAATAGCTATGGTAAAAATACTCAGTTTGTGAAGTGAGAAATTTTACTTTACATATCGTTGAATTTTACATTATCAATTTGTTTACAGTATATATATTTTAAGAGTCTTCACCATTACTGGTTAAGCTCGCTCCACTGGCTTGTCGCAATTGGGCAATATGCCAGGGAATTCCTTGGCCATAGGAATACAGGTGAATCGCTAGCATCACCCGGATTTTTGTACAGTTTTACTCCTGCAGGAAATCGAACCTCAACATCGGCGCTCCCAATTGAACAACAACTCACTGAGCCATTCCATTCCCAATGTATGTGTGTATATATATATGTATAGCGGTTTGACTGGTTTGGCTGCTCATGTATAAATTTTCTCCAGTAATATGCTGATTAAATAGGCTGGTAATTTAACAAATATTTGGCTGACGATCGGTTTACTAAGTTTTTTCCAATAACAATAACAAAGTGCTATTCCTAAATTCGTCACACTTATATTGTCCGAGATATGTTAATTGGGTGTGATTAATGGATTTACAATAAGAATTGAAGCCTGACGTTAACTTTGGAAAGGCGGTACTTCATTTAAAATAAAATCATGCGAATAATGTCTTACTAATGACTATAGACGATACAAAGCCTTAATTAACTATTTAGAGGTGCTTTGAGTTAGATAACATGGGACCGGCTGGTGCTGCAGAACTATCCGTATTTTTATGACTTTCTGATGATATTCTATTCCGAACAGCCAGTGGAGCAAACCAAACCAGAAATGGTGATACTAGATGGTAATGTCAAAATATTTAATAGTACCTCGTAGTTCTCCCCCTATGGTAAATTTTAGAATGACCGGCAATCCTCCACATTCTTTTTCCATAATTAATTAATAAGCTTTATTTAAATGTATTAAAAGATCTATTAAATCGCTCGTAAAGCATTAAAATTCGCGAGATTGAATTGTACATTGGCGATGAACGTTAATTTCCGATGTTGCATTTTTGAGAAATACTCGCTGAATTATCGCAAAAACTAAGGAATGAAGAATGTTGTTTAATTTATTGTTTTATATTACTTTCATGTAAATCTTCTATTTCTTTTTATATATATTTACTATAATCAATTTTTGGTTCACTTTCTATTGCATCCGAATGAATTAAATTTAATTTCATTACGAGCTAAACCGTGTGATGGTTGGCAAAAGCGAGGTGGGCCAATCAAGACCTGGACTGATACGGTGAGAAAAGATTTTGAACGTATAGGTGGACCAGCAATATATGGACTTAGACGATGGAAAAATTACTGTCGACGATAGCGTCAGACCGCGCTCCTTCAAAGCATCTTGCCCTTGTAGCGGTTGCAGCCAGCCTAACCAGTAATGGTGAGAGCTGTTAGAAGAAGAATTAAATTTAATATATAATATATGAAATTACAATTAAAATATATGAAATTATCTGATTATAATAACTCACTTTTTACCTATAAAATAAAAAGATTTTAGCGATGTCGCATAGACTGGGCAAAAATGAAGAAAAATCAGCGAAGATTGATGGATAGACTTGGTCGATTAGCATTTCCCGCTAAGGTCCCTATATTTCCAAGTGCCGCTGCGGACCCACCTCTATTTTTATTCTCAGGCGACCACCATTCTAGCAGTCAGAGAATCCAACGAAACTGAAACGGTGAGCATTGTTAAAAATGGAGGAATGAGCAAGAAAGGAAGGAATCAACTTACACACTATTAAATGTAAACTATTAAATGTCATAAGACACCAATTTTCATGAAAATCCACCAATTCGTGCTTTCTTCCTCATGGCAAACGAAAAGAATTCTTTAGAACACATTTCATTCGCCTCTAGAGAGTATTGTAAAATTCGGAATGAAATTTTTTCTCCATTTCCTTTTTCTCACTTTAAGGTCAACGCCTTTTTACAATCTTCAAATTTCATTTATCAATTTCCACTCCTTCAAGAAAGTGTCTAAACTCCACTTTATCATTTCTCAAATATGAATGCAAAGCAGCCGAGTGACCAGTGGTTCAGCCTGTCATGTTCGGACATAAGGATGTTGGTTTCACCCAATACTGGACCATTAAATTAACAAATCCTGGCGTATTGGTCATCTATTCCTATTGCCATGTGACTGAGCCTCTGACGAGAATTTCCAACCATATCCAACCGAACTAACTGTGGCGGATGTCTACATTTACACACTTTTTAAATATAAAATTTGTAACTTAGTTTCAATCATTTCTTTGTGCCAACGATAAACGTCATAATTTTTCTATATTTTTTCTTTTATTCTTTGCAAAATATAAACAAAAAATTTTTTTTCCAATACAACGAAAAACCGGTTGTACCGAACTAGAAAACTATCATTGTGGTAACATTTTTCTTTTCCACATAAAAGAAACAATTTTCTTCTTTTATATAAATACAAAAATTCTTAGCAAACAAACACATAAAGAGAGCTGCGGCACAATTCTACCAAAGATTTAACCAATCATTTGTTGATCTTCTTTGACCACAACTATTAGTGCAATATTTCAGTTTTGTTGATTGAATGTAAAACATTGGTTCATCTTTAATATAAAAGTACCATTAGCCCACATTAAATCGATAATTTTTAATAAAATAAAAAAAATTTCTGAGGTATTTTTCATCGTAAAAATTGGCAAAAATCCTGCGCGAATCGCCTATAATTTTAAAAAATTACACTCAACACAGAAACAAAATCTGCTAAAAAATAATCCTGTACTTCGCCAAAAAAATTTTTGAACAACTTTTTGAAAGATAAAAATCAAAATTTTCGAAATTTTCCTATTTTTTAAAACTAGAAACCATAAGGTTTTATTTTTTCGGAGAAGAGACGAAATACAGTCAAGAAATAATCGCAATTAGGATGTCACCATATTAATATAATTTCTATTTCGAAAAAAACTTTTTTTTTACAAAAAAAGTAAAAAAATTAGCCGGTAGACCGTTTTTTCATCGGGTTCATTACACAAAAATTTTTCCAAAAAATTTTCATACAGAAAGTAAAATAACTAATAAAAATAAGAAATTAAAAAAAAGAAAAAATTTCGAATCATAATTATCTACCACTACCCGCCAAAAAAAGAATTTTATATTACTTCAACTATTATTTACCATTCTGGTATATAAAAAAGTAAAAAAATTTTAAAAAATACAATCTCTATTCGAAAAAAATTAAGCTAAAAACATGCTTTTTCAATTATTTTTTTAAATATTCCATCTTTATTCAAAAATATTCTTAAGTTACCCATTTACAAAAAAAGTAACTAAGCAGATGGCCAGAAAAGCCATTCATATAACACATTTATCCAAATATTTTAGCCTAAATGCTAAAAAATTCCAGAGCTTATTAAGAAAATAACTAAGCGACAACTAGATAACCGGCTAAAAAGTAAATCTTGAGTAATACAATCATCGGTACAAATATCTTCATGCACCCGTAAGTGAAATTTTCATCTTTAGTCAAAAAAAAAGGAAAATTTCGCTCCCCGATAATCGAAGACACCTGTACAAATATGTGAATAAAAAAAACGCGAAAGAAAAAAAGAGATATCACTAACATCACATTAAGTCAAAGCAAAGCATAATATTATTTCCTGAGGATGAAAACATAGGATTTTTGAGAAAAATTGTCGAAACAAACGGAGATTAGCAACAATTTTTCTCGAAAATGACGTTAGTTCCACAAAAGAGGTAACAATAAACGAGGTTGCGGCACTACATTGTACTTTTTTTCAACAGAAATACTTAAATTTCTTTGCAGAAGCATGTGATGACTGTAAAACATTGAGAGACAAAAACACTCCACCGTTCCAGATTCGATAAATCTATTTATTTGTCACTTCCTTCGTTCGCTTCTTTTTGTTGACGAAAAATGATGGTAAACAAAAGGCGTTAGATGTAAAAACAAAATAGAATTGGGGAGGTAAGAAGATTAAAGTTGAAATCAATTTGAAGGTCACCATCTGAAGGTCAAAAAAAACATCAAATCCAAATCACGTAAAAAAATTTTACAAGAAACGGAAGTTGTTCGAAACTTCGACAGCCGTTTGTGATGCCGAAGAAGATGGATCGAAAAATCCAGTTTGTGAAGCATATGGCGATTGATTCACATAATTACCTGTTGACGAAAATTGACTCGAATATGGAAAATAAAAATTGTATGAGGGATTTGAAGAACCGTTTGGTGGCACTAATATTGGAGTAATACGTTGAGGTGTACTTGTAATGTGAGTTGAAGTAGTGATTATTGGTGATAAACCTGAACATGGTAGAGTTGCAGTTGGTGGTGGTGTTAAAGGCGACGCTGGTTGTACAATAAAAGTTTGTGTCGAGACATCCATACGCTCTTTAATTGATGTTGATGGTATTATTTCGCTTGGCGAATCCACAAAAATCTCAATCAGAAGTGGATCTATCGATTGACAACCGAACATTTTGGCGAATTGAACATTTTCACAAAGCAATGATGAGATTTTCTGCAAAACGAAGAAATAAGAACTACTTAGATGATCTGAGAATTGGTTTCAATTTTAAATTCTGAAGTAATGCACTTTACGATCATCAAATTTAACTTTGATATAAAAGAAATAAAGCAAAAACTTACCGCTAAAGGCGGCAAAAGTAATAAAATATTCCCAAATCTTGAAATTGCAGTTGATATCGGTTGATCAGACGAAATTCGATCTCTAATCATTTGAAACAAAGCATGCTGCACTCGATCTCGCAACATTGACAGAACGCGAGATGAGTCATGACTCAAGCCAGGTGCATCTGAAATTGATTTAAATGATTGGTTAAAATTAGAAACTTTCAATAAAACTGTTAAAGAAACTCAAAATGAATTAATTATAATAGAAAAACCGGTCTAATTAATTAAATTATTTCTTAACTTTATTCCACGAATTTCATATTTATTCCAAAGATTATAAAGTAAATTTACCTGCATCTAAAAGAACCAATGCCGTTAAAGCAACAATTTCAGCTTCATTTAAAACGAGTTTACGAATCGGTTGAGCTAAATCATCCAAAATTCGAGCAGTCATATTATTCGATAGAAGACTAAAAATTTCTCAATAAAATAATTTATCATCAATATGTATATTAATTATATTAGTTAGATTTCCTAACCAGTATTTTTATTAACAAAATCTTTCCATGAAAAAAAGCCAACTTATTTTCAAGTAAATGTCTAGGTGTCTGCCTCGGTACAACAGTGCGATTGCATAAACAAAGAAGATCTATATCAGTTGTTGTTTGTGCTGTTCGAGCTGCTTGACTAAATGCACAAAATGCAGCAAAAGCACTCTTCAATACACAAACCTAAAATGAAATTACTTTGATTAACCCATTTTCTCACTTCCTTATATTTATTAATTTATTTATTATATTTCTTATATTTTCAAAAAAGAATAGATCTGACAGCGAAATAAACCTTTTCGTGGCACTCGGATAGATTTGTAAGTGAAAATAATGCATCAATCCAATCTACAGCTGCAGCGATATATCGCCTTATTCCTTGCGACAACTGCTCAACAGTAGCAATTCGGCCAACTTCATAACACATCTAAACTATTTTTATCATAAACTTACTTACTTATTTTCTGAAAGGAATTTACTGCGATTCGAAGAAAATTTTTTTCATATTTTTCTCATCCAAAAATAATTTTGAACATGCATTAACATGCCTTATAAAATCTTTCACTTTTTCATCATTAATTTTCCATAATTTTCTTTCATAAAAATAATATCAAAATTCTTAAACTGGGAAATAAGATAAAAACTTACATCGAATCGATCAATATCCAATGTATATTTGTTAAGAAATATAGCACAAAGTTCGGAATCAGGCTCAGTTTTTACTTTTGCTATTCCAATCGACGTATTCAACTGTTGTTTTGCTGAGCTCATTGCTTGCAATTCTGTATCCAAAAGATATGTTAACAATGCATCTTCTTGTTGTGAACTGAAATTTTTTCATAAGTCTCCGATATAAAATTTCCTAAAATTAAAATTTTCAAATATGAATATTCACAATAACACAATATGAATATGTAAATAAGCTTATTTTATATATTAATTTATTATAGATATTAATAATAATAATAGAAAACATTCTTATCAGTGAACATAAATACTAATAAAATATGATTTAAACAAAAGTTATTTGGTAGAAAACTCTAAAAATATTTATTTAACAGTGACATAAGACATATACCATTTTCTTTTTCTTCCATTATTATTTAGCAATACAATACAAATGTAATAAATCCAAAATTCACGATCTTTGATCATCAAAAATATTAAAATAAATTTTTTCTTCAAATTTGCTTGGCATTATTACCATTATCATGCAAACTTTCTTTTTCTTTCAATAATAATCAAATTTTTTTTAATAATTTCAGAAAAATTTGAGAAATTTATTGATTCATTTATTATTTGAATAAAAATTCCACTCGTCTAGCCAGAAAAAAAACAGAAAAAACTTTTTGACTAATCTATTGAAATTCTTTCCAAATTTGAAAAAAAAATTTTTTTCTTTTTTCCAATCAACAGATGTACAAAACTTACATCAATTTATAATTTTTCTGTTAAAATAATGGAAAAATTTAATAAAATTAAAACCTCTTTTTTAAAACAAATGGTTAAAAATCAAAAAAAATTTGTTGAAAAACTGCTGAAAAACTAAAATTCACCAATCTCCTAATAAATTTCATTTATTTTTAAACCTTTGATACCTTAATTTGCAGAAATTAGTTAAATATTTATGCAAATGGAGGATCAAACATTATTTCGACTAAACTTATGCGAAACCTTTAAGTTCGATTTGATTCGTTAAATAAGAATAGACCTATCAATAAATGTTCCGAAGTACCGGGAAGCACTTCTATTAAGCACAGGAAGATCTTTAGCGAAGCTGTTTAACGGATTTATCCAAACCAGAAATGGTAGTCATTATGTGTTGTTACTAGAAGCATTATACAAAGGTATATAAAAATGATAAAAAAACTTACCAATAAGATTCAGCACTCGGTGATGGCAATGAACTTTCTTCTCTTCTTAACTTTTTACGTCGAGGATTTTTTTGTTTGCCAATTATATCACGATCAGGTCGTATTGCTGCAAAATTTTTGAAGTTTCTCGCAGAAAAAATTTCACTGATTCCCATCTCTCCGTTTATATCATTTATACTATTCCATTTGGAATTACTAATATTAATATTATTAATATTTAATGGAATATCTCATTAAAAGCATTTTGATTTGTCCATTCCATGTATTGCGAGTTTACATTCTTTCATCTCCATGCTAATCCATTACATTAAAATTCATTAAAAAGTTTCAAGCAAAAATTACTGCACAATAAAGTGAAAACAAAAACCAACCATCAGGCTCCATTCCAACTTCCAAACAACGCTGAAATCGACAAAAACGACAAGCATTTCGTTGATCTACAAAATGAAAATAATATAATTTTTTAATGGGATATCTCCTTATCTAATCAAAACTACTAAATTAGTGCTTATTTCTCTTCTGAATTATTTAAATTTAATTTCAAAATTGATTAAAATTTCATTTCCATATTAATCTATAATAAATTGAAACATTCTAAATTAGACCATTAAAAGCCAATTTTTTTAAAAAAATGAAACCTTTATCAATGGCACATTTACGCATAAAACGACACGAATACGTCTGCCCAGATCGAATCGTTCGTCGAAAAAAACCTTTACAGCCATAACAAGCCATAACACCATAATGTTTACCTGCCGACCGATCACCACACACCATACACATTCCTTCACCCAGGTCCATTGACCTGAAATTGGTACAATTTATTTGTGTTTCTCAACAATATTTGATAATTGTCGCTTATATGGACGATCAGTGACAATTTCATATGGACGAAAATAAGAAAGAAGAGTAGTTTTTGCACAGATTACCGATATTTAAAGCTTTCCATAAGTGTAAACCTGTTTTTAAAAAATCTCCTTGAACACTAACTCTTCTATCCCCCAATTAACTCTCTGGCCGAAGTTTTCATTTTGACAGTTAATGGTATGAGCCTAACCAGAAATAATAAGCGTTAATCACTAAATCATTGCAGACAATCATTTTTTTCAGCGTCGAAAAAAGCAGAATGATATAAAAAATGGCGACGGCGAGAAACGACGACAAAATCACGAAAAATAAAAATTCCTCCTCTAATATTTATTTATTTATCTAAAATAAAAATTTATAAGAGGGTGGAGAATGGAGTAATTTGCTTGGCGTCGTAAAAATATTTTTTCGCCGTCACTATTTCTCGGCTAAACATTTTCCGAACAAGAAACAATGGTTCTCCACCAAAATTAAGGGATAAAAATCGACGCTTTAGTCCAATATTCTCACATGAAGAAAGTGCGCGAAAATTCCCCAACTATCAAATCACATAAAACGAAAGGCGTGATTTTTGAAAAATGTGTAATTTTCCATCACGTGATTGTTCGTTTAATAGAAACAATGGCTAAAATTGAAATTAAATCTTACGCCAGCTGATTTCACTCGTTTCGCTTCTTTTTATTTCACTCTGTAGTCCATGTAAAAAATAAAAATACTTCGCGATTGGTAAAGAAAAAATTTTAACGCTTTAACGAAAAAACAAAAGACACTTCGAGAGCGACACTTTTCGAGAAAATATTGTGACGAAAGACGTTTCGATAAAATGAGACAATTTTAGTTCGATAACAAGGAATGTTAATAATGAAATTTCCGTTAAGCAATATTCTGGCGACGACCGCGACAGTACTTTTCCTTCTTCTTTCGCTTGCGCTCCTTGCTTTTTTTTCTTTTTCCTCTCCTTCATTACTCCTCCACTTTCCTTCCCTTTCCATTTCTTCCTCTCTCCATAAATTCCCTTCCTCTCTCTCTCTTTCTCTCTCCTTTCACATAAAATTTATAACATTTTATATTATGAGAAATGTGACGAAATGTAATCTTTAATCGCTAGCTAACTAGTCTAGTCTAACTTGATCTTTGGCCTTTTAAAATAAAACTAGTCTAGTTTCATCTCAATTATTTCTTTCTTTTCATAATTTATCAAATATCAATGAAACAATTTTTCTAATTTTTTTTCTATCTCATCTCCATTCTCTCCTCCCAAAACATACTATTTCTCACACCACTTATTTCACCTTTGAATGACCCTCATATGATCTTTCAGTGTCCTTAAAATTATCCTAAGGTGGTTCTACAGTCCCAGTGAAATCCTCCGACCTTCTTATTTATTTCCTTCATATATTGAATAAATTATACGAATAAATTACCAATAAAAGTTGCCACATAGTTTTCTTATTACTTTGTAAAACTTGGATATTTTTACAGAAATTTTTATTTGTAATATTTCCCCTACGACGTATAAATTTATTAGATGAGACGAGCACTTGGCTCGTTTAATCGCCAGTGAAATTCAAAAAACATCTGGCCTTCGAATTCATGCCTCTCAATATGACAACCCGAATCGCTATCCACTGGGTTACCCTTCCCACTATAAAATTATACCGATCTTGCAATAAAAATGCATAACAATTCATATTAAATATGCTAACTTTTATTTTTTTCGTCCTCTTTTTGCACGCAAAAAACAAAAGTACAAAAGTACAAAAAGTACAAAAACTTCTATTTTATTCAACCGATAGAAATTATAATAAAAAAATTTGTTTATAGAATAAGCCTTTAAAAAACGACAAAAAAATAACTAAAAAATAATAAATTTTGTCATCAAAATTGTTTAAAAAAGGAAAAAAATCGGCAAATGTTCACCGTTTACGGTTGCAAACTGGCTGATTGTTAGAAATTTCTGCTAATGAGTGAGTTGGTTGTACGAGTGGGTCGTCTATGCCACTCGCTTTCAACGACGGATACATTCCTCTCTCTTTTCTGAGAGAGAGAAAGCAAAGGAGAAGCAATTGCTTCTTACCAAATTTTAATATTTTAAATATATATTTTAATATTTTAATAATTTTAATATTTTAAAAATATCAAATATTTTAAATTTTTCTTTAACTTTTCATTAAATAATGATAGATTCGTTGCCCGTTTATATAAAACTTCGCTAAAAAAAACTAGCTCATTGGCCGTTTATTTAATAGTGAAGGCTCACAACACAATACGAAATATGTAATTGTTACATTTTTCATAAATAAAAAGCAGTAAAGAAAATGAAAACATAATCGAGAGTCATATGACAATACAGAAAGAATTTCGTCACAAAAATGTTATTTACAAATTATTTTAACTCTTATCAAATAAGAATTTTTACCTTTTTAAATCGCTTTAGGCGCTACTTATTTCATTATATCAGCGCTAACATTTACAATATCTTGAAAATCCTCGGCAGCTACCACAAAAAGTACCACTATTTTTCAATTTCGTTCGCTCCAACACCATACTTGCTGGTTATTTTGGACATTCGTACAAATGTGTCTATGACACCATCCCGCTTTTATATCTAAGAACACATTCACTCCCCATCAATGGACGTTTTTTCCTCAAAACAAAGCAATATGCCACTGCTCTGCGTTAAAAAATTCCAATACAGCATAATGGTAATAAAATTATCCAAGATAATCTTCAAAAAAGCATATGGAGCGAAGATAGCCGAAGGAATAATGCCCACCCATGAATAAAACCCGCCCAATAAATTAATCCAGAAATGAAATTTAAAAATGAATCGAATTTTTAATAAAACTAACTTTTGAAAAAATTCTGGTAACACCAAATTAAACAAGAAAAAATTTAATTTTTCTCTGTATTTGAAATATTTTATTTCATCCACTCTTAAATTCGAAAATTTCTTTTCTATTCCCTTCAAAAATCAAAATATTTTTAAATATCAAAATATTAAAATATTTTCAAATCTTGAAAAAACATCTTTAAAATTTTATAAATTTCGCAATTGAATTCAGAAAAAAATGATAAACTGTGCAGATTATAGAAATGCAAAATAACAATAATAACATTACAGAAATTAAAAATGAAGTATACATATCAGTCATGAATAGTACCTGGTCCTGATGTAGATATTGATGGATATTGATCCACATCTACTGGCTAAAAAATCTAAAAGTAATTTGTGAACGCCTAATATAGATGAACCAGTTATTTGCGGACTGTAGACTGGCTAACAAAAGGAAAAATACTACTGGACACGAAAGATCGTCATAAGAGAACACCATCCAACAATCGACCAATAATCCGCCATTTTACAGAAATTATAATTAGGCATTATTTATAACCATCAAACTCCAAGACCAATATATGAATATAGCGCGGAAGAGCATTAGGAACAACAGCGAAAGCTCAAAACATCAGTTGCTTATTGATAAAGCAGCCGCTCAAGAGTCCAGGTCTAAAAGCACACTGACGCAATGAACACAAATACAAGAAACACAAGAACAAATATAAGGTACCAGATCGATCGAAACAGGGATCTACCACATCACACAGGACTCACTGATTAAAAAAGCCTCAGAAAGTGTCCAAAAAAGAATGTGGCATAATGGAAATACAAGCAGAAACAACTTATTCCGAGTAGCTGGCATGCAGGTATTTGCAGGAAAATCTGCTCAGTATTCCGCTCCGATTTTCCCAAAAAAGAGAGATTTCCCAGAAAATAGTGGAGAATAATAAGACCAAGGCCCTGTAGGACTTCCTCATTCCGACAGACAAACAAGTATTGGCCAATCAAACAAGTATTGGCTAGATATTGTGGAAATAGACAAGAATCAGAAAAGAATCAGATGTCAGCTCTCGTGACATATAGATATAGCAATAGTGACATGGAAATTAGAAATTAGGAATGTGAAAAGATAGGGGAATATCAGAGAATGAAAGAACTAGAGAAGATGTGGAAAATTAAGGTGGCTCCAGTGGTAGTAGGAACATTAAGTACTGTGACTTCTGAACTAGAAAAGCTCCAACAGATTCCAGAAACATCTGTCTGGACGAGTGCATTGCTAGGAAATTAATATACTGCGCAGAACTCTTAAGCTCACAGACCTCTGCCGTGGGATCCGTGTATCCGTGGGCCTTGGTCTTATTATTCTCCACTATTTTCTGGGAAATCTCGTTTAGAATGACCCATATCACCCATAAGTACTGAAAAATAATTTTTTATATTGCAAAAGACAATAATAATAAAAATGTGATAATATTGCAAATCTCAGATCCAAGTGGCCTGATTTTGACAAGTTTAGTGATTATTTTTAATAATTTTAGCATTGGTCATAACAGTTTTGAAGGCCCAATATTTGGCTGTTCCAAAGTTGCTGCTTTTCAAAAGATCAGAAGGTTACTTTAAGCATGTTTCTCGACATATTTATGTCAGATCCTTGTTCATCGTGTGTCCACCACTGTTACATCTCAAATGGCATGTTGAACATGAACACGTCAACATAAAAAAATTTTTTATCCTCTGTGGGTGGTCATGATCATCCTCAACCTTGGATCCTATACCAGAGGACTTCGTTAACGGTTCTGCGCAGTATCTTAGCTATTCCCAATAATTCACTCTTCTGAAGAGAGATCTCAGATGTTGTTCGTGGAATCTGCTGAAACCATTTTTCTAGTATAAAGGACTTTTTCCAACATAAAATTATATATATATATATTTATCACCAGCGATTTCTGGTTCTTATTAATTATCATATGTGGTTGACATCAATAGTTACATGTCTGCCTGGATGAGGTAGGTCGACAGGACACGTATGCACAAATCGCTGCGAAATAAGAACGCAAAATTAAATAAAATAACAAAATTTTATGTGAATAATATT